GTCCCAGAGGTTATGTGTTAGTGGTCTACATCATTGTGCAGCAAAGGTGATTTAACGAGTTAAATGATCCCATCTGTGGGGGTGCCGGCATCTCGGCCCGGGGCCTTAACCCTTAATCTGAGTCTGGGCTGGACGTTAAGGCTTAGCGTTAAGGCTTAATAACCCTTAATGTTAATTAAGGGTTAACCCTTAAGCCAACACTGACATGAGAAGTTCTCGTCCTGGTACCGCGGAATATGCGTCCGCATGTGAGGTGCAAGCCCAGGCTGGCCAGCCCACTCTTGAGTCTTGACCATGTATCTATCTATATCTATACATCCATCTGCAGGTGAGACAAGCCCATAACATAACCTGCCGTTTGTCGCTTATGTACCACTGCGATCCCGCCTGGGCATTACGTGCTTTGTTTCGTCCCTTGTCTCCGATGACAGGTCACCGGGACCACACCCGCCCATCGTGTCGTACCACTGCACAGAGAATGCAGGGGAATTAAAATCGGCATTCCATCTGGCTGGCCCACGTAGGATGGTGGCCTGTCCCTGGCGGCTTCCCCCCCGCTCGCGATGTCGATTTCCCCACCACGTCGTAAAGGTACTGGCTCGCTCGCTCAAGGTAGCTCTCCTTTCGCTCTGCGTATAGCGCACCCAGGCCATCCCGGCAAACTGCCCGACACGCCGACCCTCCCCCTCCCCCACCCCTCTATCTCCACAGGCTAGCGCATCTCATCTCGAGGATGCATCGCGGGAGCGAACGAATCCACGGTGAGCCGTAATCATGCTGCAGCGCACGAGCTTTACCGCAGACGACCGACCCACACACAGATACTTAGACGGAGCACGGGCCTTCTTCGCCGAGATTCCGAAGCCACGTCTGGCCCAGCGGTCGACGGGTCGGGTGGGGTGAGAAATGGAAACCGAAGACCGAGAGACTGGACAGCGGACAGCGGTGAGAAGCCCCCACCCACCCACCGCCACCTCTTTCATTCGCCCCACCCTCTCTTTCATTCCCGCCGCAGAGCGCTTTCCCACCGTGCCCTGACGCCAAACCTCGGCGCACGACACGGATGCTATACCTGATTGCAGAATGGATTTCAGAGAACGGCACCGAGGTACGTCGGACGCACCCTTTCTCGCATGGTGCTTTAATCTATCCATCATGAAGGATGAATGTCGACGCTGTGTTCGGTCGTCAATGTTCAGCAAAACGTATTCGAAACACATTTCAGCCTTTCAGTTTCACACCGTATAGGGCAGGAGTGGTACGACGTGCTGTTCTGCTGCGTCCTCTGTCTATTTGAACCCTCTCCGCAACGCTCTCGAATCTGTGGTAGGCACGGTACGTACCAAACGTTTCAGAGCAAGGGATGCGTTGAGTGCCTTGCCTCGTCCTGCGCGATCTGGTCCCTGGATGCCTGAACGCGAGAATATTCCCTCAGATACAGTTCACGGGTCCTAGGGATAATGGAATGGAAAGGTGAGGACTTGACGTGCGGGGTGACGAACCGACACGGCGTGCAGCATGCATTAATTCATTCCGCCCCAGCATTCCGAGCGTCCGACGCAACGCAGGGGCAAACGCAGACGTACGACCAGCGGAAGATTCGACGCCCAGATTTGTCTTCGCATTCCGCATCGCGAACTGCCAGGCCCCACCCTACCCTAGGAAAATCACGTCGCTTAGGTATGTGCGCGTTTCAGAGTTCAGACGAAGGCATGCACGTACCCATTCTTTGCCTCAGCCCCCCGTGAAATGCGGTTTCACATCCAAGCCATGCGGACTCGTGGGAGGGAGTGGGAGACGCGCGGCCTTTCCTGTGCTCACTCGCCGGCCAGCCCGCTTGGTCCAGGAACTTCGACATCGTTCGTCCCGCGCATTCAGGGGGATAACGGAGGGAACACGGGTCCGCAGTCAAAAATTGATTGATGAATTCTTGTGGTCCCTTCTTGTGGTCCCTTCCCTGGATGGCATAAAGTAGACGCGACGATATGCCGTCTCAGTATCTCTCACTGCGAAAAGAAGGGAGAGACGGAGACATTTGCGATTGCAAGGTCAGCCCAGGCCTAGGGAGAGGTGAGACTTGACGTGCCGTTCTGTGTGCTGGGTGACAGCGTCCAAGGCACCAGATATTCCGCAGCCACCATTCAGCGGGGCCGACACAGGTGGAAGACCCGATCGGTTCGACGCGTCTCCGCATCTCCACTTGCAGGCCCTGCCCTAGCCTCCCCAGGGAGACGAGACATACCTGCAACTTGGGTTAGGTTACAGGTATGTGTGTTTCAAACCGTAAACGGCGGACGTACCGTATCCACTCTTTGGCTCGGCCGCCTGCCGTCGTCGCGGCCAGATATCCTCTGGGTTCCTGCTGTCGCCTCACGTCAGCTGAGCACCTCGCTAGGAATTAGACGCACCGCGTAGGGCACTGTCGTCGGCCACTGCGCGTTACATCTCGGCTGGTAGGAGGGCAGCGGGTCGGTCGTGGTCGGTGGAGAGTGGAGGGTCGCGCAAGTCGCTGCGTCCTACCTACCCCAGTGCACCTTGGTGCACGACGAGCGAGAGCGTCGTCTATGCAAAATAAAACAGGTCAGCTCAGCGATCATATCATCCCAAGCCAGACCCAAACAGAGCAGATCAGACCAGAACAGACGCTCGCGCATCAGAAATGAATGAAACCAAAATTGGGGACAGACCCTGTGGCGGCGAGCGGGGATGCAGTGGCGATGGCGTGCTAGGTGTAAAATTTTAACCAAGGTCCACAAGGCGCAAAGGAAAGGCACCAACCAGACTCGGGATATAAAGCGACATGCCTTCGAGTCGGTCGAAGTGGCGGCTTCGGGCTAACAGACACCGCACGTACGAGACTAACATCCCACGCACGAGTGGGGGTATACGCGAAATGCGATTTCATTCAGCAATGCCTAGGATACAGCGGGTTTCGATGGGTGGGTGGGTGCTACAGGAATAACTTGGACGGCCAGCGCTATGTGGTTCTATAATCTGTAACGCGCGTCAGTAAGTATTAATCTCGAGGACGCAGGACTCACACGACTTGCGCGGGGCGAGGACGCGTGCGGAGACGTTGACATTGGTATCTGCACTCGAAGACGACGACGACGTACTCGCAACCGGGCGTTCCTACTCACGCCCACACCATCAGCGCCACACAAACGCAGCTAAAAAAAGGAGGCGCGCACCTCGATCTTCGCGACGCCCTCACACCGCTCGCGATGCTTCTCCCACAAGCCGGGATAATATCTGCTCCTGCGGTCGAGTTTGATGGTGCGGCGACACCCGGCGCAGAGAACGTCGTGCGGGGTCACGCGGAGGGCGCAGGGGTCGGATTCGAGCGCGAGGCGGCGCTCTGCTTCGGTGCGCGCGGATTTTTTGGGCGCGGAGGGTAGGCTACCGGGGAGGTCTGCTTCTGCGGTGGATGTGGATGTGGATGTGTGGCGGGTGGCGCGCGACGGCGACGGCGACGGCGAGCGGATGTCGCGGGCGTTGTCGTCGGTGGTGCTCCCCGAGGACGAAGGCGAGCTCGAGCCGCCCCTGTACGGTGTCCTCAACGACGTCGTCCTGTCCAAAATTTCTTCAGTTGTGGCTCATGACCCTAGTCAAGGGGCTTACTCGGCCCTCTGGCCCCTACACACCGCCGAATGCTCCCTTACAAGGCGCTGAATGTTTCCCAGTGGATTCGGGCCGTCGTACTCGAAGACATGGCCGCATCCACGGCGGCCGCACTCGTTTCTGAAGGCCAGGGCGGGGATTGTGGTGGTGGCATACATGGAGAGGAGAGAAGGATCGACACCACACGTGACACCCCTTGTCTTTCTTTCGGTTTTTCGAACTCAGATTATTGATCGATCACTTTTTCAGGTCTTCCTTTTGTTCTCTTTCTTGCACGGTTGCCACTTTGGTATAAAAACATCGGAGGAGGCGTCTATAGGACAATGCGAAGTGGTACGCAGTGCGGGCACCCCGGACGCAGGCTTCTTATCAAGGGGCTGAGACTCATCATACCGCGCTAATTTCTAATTAGACCATGATTAGATCGACTTCCTTCTCTTCCTTCTGTTCTCCTCCCAAGCCGCATCGCATTCTCAAAATTTTATCGACGTTCTCGGCTGCGAATCAAAATAACACCCGCTCTTCCGTACTTATAATTATACCAACAAACAATGCCCTCCAGCGCGACCCAACAACGATCACTGGCACTGACAGGACGCACTGAACCGTAAATCTGATGAATGGATGTAAGTAGCCGGGATGTAACCGATGGATCTATCAGGATGTAAGTTGCAGTTAACGTTATCATGCGTTGCTTCGCGGGAAACACCAATTGCAACATAGTTTCAGTTTCGAACTCGTCTTTCAAAGACAATCCTTCGCACGAATGCCGTATAAGTAGCTTGAAATACACTCATCAGGACCGATCATGGGGGCGCACGCACGCCTCGAAGTTTACTTACAACTTTGGTTGGGTTGGGTAAGTTGCAACGGAGAAACGCCGACGGTGCGACCTCCCTCCATCAATTTTGGTTTGGTTTGATAAGTTGTAACTTAGAAGCGCCTCCGTACTGGCTGGTCGTTTGGTTGGTTATTCACGGAAGGAAGACGCAGGGTTATTCAACAGTATCTATGGATCTATTTAGATATCTACTATCTATCGAGGTATCTAGGTATCCATCTATCTAAATAATTTATCTACGTATCTAAGAGATTCATCTCTCCATCCATGTCTATCTTATCCACTTCCACGCTCATCTAACTATCCAGCTATTCAAGTATCTACCTCTGCCTTCCCATTCCCACCATCTCACAATACATATGCACTGTAACTCTGATTCAGGTGCGGCGGAAGTATCACCTATCAAAATCAACATCGAATCAAAAACGCAACCATCCATCTATAAAGGGTACAGTGAACTATCTCCTTGCTATCTCCCCAACTCGAGATTCCCACCTCACTCCTCAATGCACACGCATGCGCCTTCCGATATTTGTGAGGACTCTTAGCGCAGTTGGTAGCCCGTTCGCTTACATCAATGAAAAAAGATTGGCGTTATGCGCAAAGCGGCGGGTGCGATTCCTGCAGAGTCCATACCAAGGTGCTAGGCATTTTTTTCGAGATTACAGTACTTCCCCATCCACTATGTAAAGGTAATGATTCATCATTCATTCAATCATCAAACACGCAACCGTCCATCCACGTATAAACGTCGATCTGATCGCACATTCGCAATACTTCGATTCTCGATGTAAAGTGGGGAGATAATCAACTCAGACTCACCACGCATCCGATTTCGCGATGACGGACTCTTAGCGCAATTGGTAGCGCATTCGCTTGCGTTAGGTGAGGGCCTTTCTAACGGTATGCGAAAGGGCGTAGGTTCAATTCCTACAGAGTCCATTCCATGGGAGGGGTTAGTTTCTTTTTGTCGAGATTACCTCTTCGTTGAAAACTGTAAATCTGATCCAGGTAGAGAGTCCTTTATCAACAAATGCAACCTCATCATTGTATTCTTCGCAACCATCTCAGTTCCATGTTCTTGCATACCTTTCCTTTCGTGGGACGAGAAGAGAAGCTTGAATCCGTGCCCGCTAACACCGATGCCGGTCAATTACACGCTCGCTCGTGCCACATCGGGCTCTTAGCGCAGTTGGTAGCGCGTTCGCTTCGCATGTCGCGATCTCAATGCGAAAGGTCGTTGGTTCGATTCCTACAGAGTCCAATCAGTATTTTTGGTATTGCTTCCTTCCAATTCAACTCTGATTGCAGTTCGAACATGTGAGGACACAGTTTTAACTTTCATGTCAACATTTCGCTGCCGAGATGTCCGGTAGGGCTGATCACTCTGCCCGACTTCTGCCGGTCTATATGCACTTTTATTCCCGTCCTATATGTTGGTGATCCCGTCTCAAATGTGGATGTTTTGGTGCCTTCCGCACAAAATAGATAACGATCATTTTCCAGTGGGATTGTTTACAGGGAAATTGGTGATTTCTATTTGGGTCCCGCCCGATTTATAACTGCTTAAGCCTGATTTACAAACGAGGTAATGGACAAACGGGGAGAGATGGAGAAATGGGAGGTGGAGGCGCAAGCACAGTGTAATTCCCCCATGGTGCAGGACGAAAACACATTTTTTGAATCATATATGGGGAAACCCCACTGCGAACGAATTATTGAGGTTGAAGAGGAGAACGAGAGAGCTTGAAACACACCTAGTGCAGAGACCCAAGAAAGCTGTGGACTGCATCATTGACCCTCTGCCAGATGGTGATCCCGGTTCTGACCGCCGAGAAGATGTATGTACCGGGACGATACTGTTCCTCCAATACTTTTAAGCGCTGGTCCAGCGCCCGGAGTTCTATCGCAAGTGCTGGTGGAGTCGTCAGCAAAAGCAAAAATGCAATATCGAGAGATTCCTTGCCTCTGATTTCTACGAAAAATGCTAGTTTAGTGTGGGGAAAATGCATACCGAGACAAGAGATTACACACCGGCTTGGATCTCATTCAAGTTCTGGACCGGAGCAGTGACAGTCGAATCGTTGGACGACGTGCGTGGATGGACTATAACGGGACCCGCAGAGGAGTCCTTGACCCGCGTTTTGCGTTGTGGCCGTAAGTGGGCAGGTGCTCTGCTTTGGAATAGATGGGGAGAAATCCCGGGAAGGAGCAGTGGCTTTTGAGTTTTGGTAGACGGGGCTGACATCGGAGGGGAGCGAAAAGAAGAGTGTCGAGCTGCGACCTGATTTTCGAATTTGTCTGATCGGCCCTGTGATCCGATCCTCAACTGCGCAGCTCCTATGCCTTAGAAACCCTATGGACATTGATGGCCACAATTCGCTACGCGCCGAGGGTTTGGGTACCGGGGAAAGTGGTGAACTCTGAAAATTGAATTTGAATCTTTTCTAGCGGCAGCGGGACGCAAAAGACAAGGATGCGGGAAGAGGCGCCATTGGTCTTCAACAAGTCAGCTCCTCGGGATGGTACAAGATGCGAACGGTTGAATTTTCACTGCAAATAACGATGAATGTGATACACGAGTAGTGGAAGATAATTGGGGGCGCAACAGACCCCAATATTTCGCCACAAGAAAGGCGCGTATTTCTGGAATCAAGAGAAAGGACAAGATATCGCTTACGGCCCTGCGCTTCGTAAGCAGGAGCACAGTCAGCTACAAATCATATATATCTTCAAGACACGACTATGATTCGGTTTTTCGGTTGTTGGTGTCAAAAAAACTCTCCGGCCACGGGCTGTAAGCCCAGACGCGCGATGGAGTTTGCTCGAAGCCCGTTACGGGTGGCCTCCAAGCCTTCGTAGCGCCTGTGGGTTTCGGTGAACAATAATTCAGACGGAACAAGTGTCGGTCACGCACCTGAATACTTCGAGGCAGTCGGCTTTGTTGAGCCACCTTCCCCTTCTCTTTCCGTCCGGTGTAAAGGCTCCGCACAAGGCTTCGTTCACCATCTCGTCGGTTACGTTGTCTGTGGTTGGTAGTGTCATGACCGGCGAGTCGATAACGAGACATCTACAGGCGCCGTGAAGAAATCAGCACTGAATAAAAGTCGGTACGTACTCCCTGACGATAGCCTGGACAACATCGAACACGTGACACCGCACGCATTGGTCGCTTTCGCCTGAGAGGAAGGCTCGTCCCAAGGAATACCAGGCAAGAACGTTCAAGGACGCACGCAAAATGGGCCGTTTATGCCGGTGTTACCTCGGAGGTCCACTCTGGGTTTAACGACCACCTGCGTGACGGTGGGGCGCGTAGCGAAGTCGTCTGCGATGCTGAGGTCGATTATCGCAGATTTGAGTCTTTTGCCAGGAGAAGCAGAAGGATGGTAGATGGCGGCGGTTCTGAATATTTTCGCCCATCAAGTACTTAGGACATGATCTGCAACGCAGAATGTATATGTGAATCTGGATTGTTTCTCCGGGGGAGTGTGTGATTGAGCTCACGACTACCCGATCGCCTGAACCGTCAAATCCATCGAGCTCATTGGATCCGGAATCATCTGGAAACAAATCGATGAATACAAGCCTGTTAGAGCGCACCGTAGGTGTGCCATACCTGCGATGGAACGACAGGTCCTCTTGTACAGCAGCTGCGCTATCTCTGGATCCTGACCAACAAGCTCGTTCCATTGTTTGCAGACCATACTGGCTCGGAGGATATCGAAGTAAGCGAGCAACTTGAGAATTCTGGCCAGGAGTTCCGGTGGAAGGGCGCAAATCTGCAGGCTGAGCTCAGCAGTGGGCTGTAAGATTTAAAGCTCATAGTAAGCGTCTGCGCTCGAGGATCTCGGCGAAAGAAACCTTACCTCCAGTGTTAATGTCTCGCAAATCATCGCAAAGGGAGGAGGGCAAAATGAAGGATGCCGCGGGAAGAAGAAAAGCGTCAGGAAAAGTCACATGACGGTGAGTTCTATTACGTCCGACTCAAGTCCGACTTCTCCGACCCGGACTTGGACGAAAATAATTAAAAATTGCGATGAAGTCGAGTTGAACACTCCGCTAGACTTCCAACTTCAACGTACAAGTGTGGATCTGTGATGTGAACAAACCAAGATCCTGTTTGAGCATTGTCAACGCTTCCACAGCAAGCCGTCATAGCACGAAATGGCTCCCGTTTGCGGTGTATGGAAAGGAATGTTGCGATGCTGGTGTTCACCGAGAATGAAATCCCAAGTCAACTGTAATTTAGCGAGCGTGTTATCAGTCCGGGAGGTAGATAGGTAGCATTGCATAGGACGGGCGCTATGCATCGATCCCGCAGAATTAAGCTAGATAATGTCCGTTCAATAAACTCGATCTCGTGCGAAGCTGAGTTTTGGGCTGGCGCCTCAGAAATTGAAGCTGGCGACCCAGTTCTGGTTTGTGTTACCCGTGGTGCAGTGCCAGATCTGGAGCTGAAAAAACCAACAAATCAACCGCTGTCAATCGAAGAGTTGGCACATTAAGCTCACCTGTGTTCCAGTAGTCTGCTTCCCATCAGTGAGGTCGACGCACTGAGATCAAAACGTCTTAGTTCTATTCGTCCGGAACAGAACAGAACAGAAGCTCACCATATTCGAAGCCGCGACATTCTCAATATTCCCCGCCTGCCAATCGAGATCCCACGCATTAGATGGGTTGGTTTGCGAGCAGTCGCTCAACACGAGCTTTGTACCCGCGCTTGTCGCATCCCCGCTCGTCGCAAGACACAGGCTAGGGTTTTGCGCAGATTTGATTATTCCAACACTGGAGCCGATCCAGGTCTGCGCGGCGGAGTTGGAGGAGCAGGTCTCGACGGTCACTGGAGCCGATGTGGAGTTTGCAGAGGCGGAAATGCAAAGAGAGGTGTCGGAGGCGAGCGAGAGGGAGACGCTGTACGGGTGCAGAGAAGAGGATGATTCACCAATTTTGGACCGAAGGCAAGAAAGAGACCCACGATTTAGGCTCTGTTACAATTGCAATACCCCAGTTCTGGTTTGAATTCGAGGAAGACGCATCGCAGTCCCAGATCTGCATCTACGGGAATGAAAGTTAGTAAGGTGAGTATGAGGACGCGTAACGTACAACGTTCCCGTTTGTAACGTTTCCATTCGTTGCATCGACGCACTGTTGGTAGGATTAAGGCGATGGTAGGATCCAGATGTAGGTGTTGAAATGCATGTACCTTATTCTTTCCGGCCCAAACAATCTGCGGTGACCCTGGTGAGCCCGCGCTAACCCACTGCTGGTCTGTGAAAAGTGTGTCTTAGTGGGAAGGCCAGCAAATAGCGGCGAGGACGTACTAGTGTTCCCAGAAGCGCATGTCCAGATCTGAAGTTTCGTCCCATCCCCATCCACCCCATTTACCGCATCCAAACACTAATTCTGAGCTAATGTAAAGGCGCGCGATAGAAACACACCTTGTCCCCGAAGATTTTAAGGGCCCCAGGCTTTCCTACACCGGCTGCAGCGACCCAAGTGTTAGAGGCACTCGGCGGGAGGCCAACGGGACAGTCCTGGATTATCACAGGGGCGCCATCGGCGTTGCTCGAGGCGGTAAGGCAGCCGCCGACGGGACCTAGGCAAATCAGCGGGGAGAAATTGGACTTTGTAGATCTGTATGCGCTCACCAGTCGGGATACCAGTATCAAATGTCAAACTTTGTCCGGGCCTGAAAAGAAAACAACGCCCACATGTGTGAGAAAGACAATCGAGTGCTCGGAGGATGAGTCGCACAGCGGCACCTGAGCGTTAGCATGTAGGGAGAGATAAATCGTAGCAAAAACCAGGGAAGTGAAGCGGGAAGTGGGAGCCATCGATAGAGGAAGGGGATGGTGTCGCCATGACAGCCATCTTATAAGTACCAGGAACAAAGCGTGAATGACGGTAATCTCGGTCCCAGATGTTCGGGTGTGCGCTCCGTGATCCGAGGCAGATGTTTTGATGAAAAAGATGGGCGGAGACACACACCCTAACATCTGGACACCCTAACATCTGGTGTAATTCGTAGAGTAACCATGCGACCACTCCAATCCGTCACAAATGTCACCTCTAATCAGTGCGATAATCATTGCGATAACAGCTGATAACAGCTAATGTCCGTACCAGCGTGAATACTGACGACGATTTCGACTTTCTGTATGCCGATGACTGGGATTTGACTGGGACTTCAACCTTGACAACAGTTTGGAACACGTAGACGTCGACTAAGACGATGAACAGACAACCGCACCGCAGATGATGAGC